TCTACATGACGTTTAATGTCACGTTTTTCACGGAGTAACAAACAGGTATAATTACGTGGTCCTATTTTATTTTTAATGGTAGCTTGTGACCAACTTGCTTTGTTTGGGTTTCGATAATCTCTTACATAGACTTTTTGTCCTACCGAAAAATTTACGTTACGATTTCCTTTATAATTTTTAATTGCGGTTTGTTGCTTTTCTTTGATAACATCTGTAACTACAGGCGGTTTTAGCAAACTAAAACGCGATTTTAATTCTTTTCCGAGAAGGAGTTTCGCAGGAGTTTCGTTAGTTGTGCAATGTTTTGTAATTCGATAGTCAAACAAAAATCTATCGAGAATGGTGTCGAAGTCACCTATTTTGCTCTCCTCAATCGTTGCAATTAATGACTTTTTCAATGTTTTGACAAAATTCTCGGCTTGGCCGTTTGTCGATGGATGTCCAGGTGCGGTGTATATGTATACGATGCCATTCATTTCCAAAAAATGTTTAAATTCAGCAGAAGTAAATTGTCTTCCATTGTCTTGAACCAAGATGCTGATTAAACCAAATCGTGAGAAAATTTCTCTTAATTTACGAATGACAAATGCAGACGTCATATCCTTGGTTTTGAAAACTTCAACCCACTTGGAATATGAATCGATTGCAAGAAACAAATAATAGCCTCGAACGGGACCTGCAAAGTCAATGTGAACACGTTTCCAAGCTGAATCAGTGGGTGTCCACGGCATGAGAGTACTTTTCTCAGGACTTGCTTGAGTCTTTTGACAATAAATACAACCTTTTATCAAATTTTCAATTTCTTTGTCAATATGCGGCCAATAAACATATGAACGAGCTAACGCTTTCGTTTTTACAATTCCCATGTGCGATGCGTGAAGGTCTTGCAAAATGATCTTACGCAGAGCATTTGGAATGACTGTGCGATAGCCCCAAAGAATGCAACCTGATTCAACAGATAATTCAGTTGCTTTGTTTCGAAATGATGTATATTCACTGCCTTGAAGCTGATCGACAGTTCCTTGTTGAATACAATCGTGAACCTTTGATAAAATTGGATCTCGTCGAGTGTGTGTGGCTATATCTTTGTACGTTAATGTTTTCATGATGTTTGAACCTACATAATTTATGTATGAACTCTCCTTGGTTTCTTCCGCTGTAGAAACTTGTGCAATACGTGATAAACTATCAGCCGTATTCAAAGAACCTTTAATGTACTGAATAGAATAATTGAAACCAGACAAAAGAAACGCCCATCTCTGCATACGAGCAGCGGCCATTAAAGGAATGCCTTTATTTTCGCCAAAAATTGCTATCAACGGCCTGTGATCAGTCTCAAGCGTGAAAAACATGCCCAATAAATATTGTCTTAACTTAATCACACTAAAAATGATGGCTAATGCTTCTTTTTCTATAGTACTGTAATTCTTTTCTGCATTATTTAATGCGCGTGAGACATATGCAATAGGTCTCTTGGTTCCATCGTCATATTTATGAGATAAAATACCAGCAATGGCTGTATTACAGGCATCTGTAGACAAAATAATTAATAATTTCGGATTAAAATGAACTAAAACTCGATCAGAACAGATTTCTGTTTTCATGTGTTCGAATACATTTTGACAAGCCTGATCCCATTTAAATTCAACATTTTTTTGTAACAAATGGTAAAGCGGTGTCATTTTCTGGGCGAAATTTTCGATGAAAAATGAATGATGATTTACCATGCCAATAAATGCTCTTAATTCAGAGACATCCCTTGGTCGTGGTGAATTGAGAACGGACTTGATTCGTTCTTTGTTCCGACTTAAACCATTTTTGTCAATGTCAAATCCTAAATAAGAAATTTTTTCCTTGAAAAATTCACATTTGTTGACGTTTAGTCTGAGACCGGCTGTCTGAAGTTTAATCAAAACTTGTTTTAGCGTTTTCAAATGATCTGCTAGAGTTGGCCCGGTGACAACAATGTCATCTTGATAACAGAATACATTTGAGAAGCAACTTAGGAGATTTTCCATGGTCTTTTGAAAAAGTGCGGCGGCAATTTTGACGCCAAACGGTAAACGTGTCATTTTGAAAATGCCTTTGTGTGTACTCCATGTACACAATTTTTGTGCTTCATCGTCTAAAACTAACTGATTGTATGCATTCGACATGTCAAGTTTAGTAAACAAAATACCTCCTTGCATTGAAGCAAAAATTTGATCAATCCGTGGCAATGGATATTTGAAATCGATTAAAAATCGATTAATTGTGACTTTGTAATCACCACAAATGCGAATATCGCCAGAAGGTTTCAATAATGGCACAAGAGGTGTAGCCCAATCCGAATTGTCTACTGGAATAAGTATTCCTTTTGAAACGAAGTCATCTAACTGTTTCGCTATCATATCACGCCATGCTAACGGAACAGGGCGAGGTTTGCAAAAAATCGGTGTGACATCTTTTTGAATGGGTAATTTAATGGTCGTGACGCTATACTTTCCCAAACCGCAACTAAAAACTTCGTGAAACTCACTTTTGATTGAATCAATCATTTCGTTGGGCGCAAAAATATTGTTGACGCGATTTGTTTGTACTAATTCAAAACTAAAAGCACGCAGAAAATTTCTACCTAACAAAGTCGGTCGGTCACTGTTTGTCACTACAATTATTCCTGATATCTTTTGACCTTTGTAATTAACAACTGTTTGAAACTCACCAATGATCTTCAATGGGTCACCTGTGTATCCGGAGAAAGGTGTGTTGCATGGTTTCAAAACTCTTCGATCAAAGTATTTATCAAATGTGTGAATTGATATGAGCGAACATGGTGCACCAGTGTCACATTCAACCGTAAGCCTGACTCCATCCACAAGCACAGTTAACTCATAGCGATCGTTCCCTTCCGAGCCCTCAATTGAATAAATTGGGTAGTCATAATTCGTCACATCGCATGGTTCAATGCTAAACGTAGAAGTGGAATTACAAACAGAATTAGAAAAATTTTCACTAGAAATTGAACAATTTTTATCAAAAAAATTAACAAAATTGACGTTATTCTCATCCTTCTGCTTGCAAATGTTGGCTAGGTGCCCAGTTCGTCCACAGGAATGGCACTCGCTGTCCTTGTATTTGCATGATGATGATGTGTGGTTCTTCCAACCACAATGCCCACATGGTTTTTTCGATTTCCCGTTACCGTAGCTCTTCTTGCGATTGTTGTTGTTGTTGCCGTTGCTGCTGCTTTGCTTGCCACGCGCTTTGATGAAATTCACGTCCACGCTGCTGTTTTGCGATTGTTGAATTTTTGTTTCTTTCATCATCGCCTTTTTCAATGCAGTTTGCAACGTCAGCGTTTCGTCTTCTTCGCAAAGTTTTTCGAATATTTTGCTTGGCAATTCAACGACAAATTTGTCCAAAACGATACGTTCCAAATCACCAGCGACGAATTTGCAATCGAGTGATAACCTCTTCACACGTGCGAACCACGATGCTACACGTTCGTCGGCTCCCATTTTCGCTGCGTAGAAATTTCTTCGCTCGTTGAAAACAATTACGGGTGGTGTGTAATGCGCTTTCATCAACGCACACAAATCGTTGTACTTCTCTTTGCTCGGTAATTTCGGACTGCATAAACAATGCAGAATTTGATATGCTTCTGCTCCGATCAATTTCAATAAAATTGAAATTTTTTGCTTTTCGTCTGTGCACTCAATTTCGACAAAATGTAATTCGAGACGTTCGAACCACAAATTCCAATTCTCTGTCGGGTTAAACTCCGGCATCGATGATGCGGTGATGATTTTCGTGTCCGTCATTTTTCGTTGGTCGATGATTTTCATGTAATGCACAGATGTTCAGAAAAAAAAAAGTTTTTCTTACGATTACTTTTTCGATGTAAAAAAAATTTACGGTGAATTTGCTGAGATCTTGAGATTTTTTTCTCGCAGTACTTTTTCGATGTAAAAAAATTACGGTGAATTTGCTGAGATCTTGAGATTCTTTTCTCGCAGTAATACTTTGAGTTGCCCTTTTGTCGTCAATGTGATGTATCTCCGTGAGTGTCGGAAACAGAAGAAAGTCTTTATTCAATGTTCTTACTAGCTAATGTCACAATGGTTTTATTCTAGTTGACAATGTGTGTGAATGGCGCTGTGATATAAATGTAGTAATAGATTAAGTAGTTTCACACTTGCTATAATGATGTACTTTACGTACTCTACAATAATGATATTATCACTCGTTCGATTTTAAGTACCAAGGTTCGTTACTTGTCAAAAAGCGTTACATATATGTAACACGAGGAAGATTCGAGTTAAACAATTTTTGAATCTACTTTCAATATGACTTTTTCTTGTTTGTTACTATGCATTTCATTCAGCTGTGTTTGAAATGTCAAACTGTCGAGCTCTTCAAGCGATTTGTTCTGTACGTTCTACACGTGGAGAATTTGTGGATGTTATGAATTACTGTTTTTTGTATGTTGAGTTATTAAACAATACACTCATTTAATAAAAATAAAAATTGAACTTAAAAATTGTGAATAGAAAAAACATATACACACAAAAAATTATAATTAATTTATATAGAACCAATCATTGTCATTTCACGCCATTTTATTTAGAAACATCAACTTTTTTTGAAAGCCATCGATATATGTTTCAGCCCGAAGGAATTGAGATGGCGCTTGTGTATGACACGAGACACTCGAATACACAGGAATACATACAGCGCAAGCCACACGTGCCATATATGCAAACGGTTATCCATCTGCGGTTATTTTTTTAACTTTGAAACGACTTTGAAACGGAGTGTGTTTTATTCACCCCACGAAGATGTAGAAATTTTCATATTCAAAAATCCACGTCAGAACACCACTCAGAACTCAAGAATATTTACTGGAATTTGCAATTCAATGTGATCGAATTACGTTATTCTTCAAACCATAATGAAGGTGATGAAGGAATGAACGTGAACATCTGTGCCGGTATTCTAACACCATGCATATTTTGGAAGGTGGAAACCAAACGTTCAATCAATGAAAAAGAGACAAATCCATATATAACGTTTGGATACCACCTTCCAAAATACAATTGATCGCTCGTAATAATTCTGAACAAAGTGTTCGAAATGGTGTTAGAATACCGGCACTGGTACTTTCGTTCCGATCCATTTGATGTGAATCGTAAAATTATGCGCATATGCACAGGTGGTATTGTAATTCCACCAATTGACGTCGATTGTTCTGAAAAAAAATTCTTTAAAATTGTGTGCATTTATAATCGTCAATGCACGTGGATTAAACTATACCGCTACTGTATTACTGACGTGACCACACTTGTAGTATATAAAAAGTTGCGTTTCGTAAGTCCATCGAACAGTTCGACAATTCTCTTCAATTGATACGTTTACAGTAAACATTTGATAGTTCGCAGCTGGAAAAATGCTGGGTCGAAGATCTTTCACACTGTTGCTCATTGGTTTCGTGGTATCCGAGGTGAGTCGACAATCTTAGTCGAATTATTTTTACATTCGATTCGGGACCTGGATATTTCTACACTAATTTAACATTTTGTACACTTTTTGGTCATTTTGTACACGAATTTCTGTACACGATTTTTACATTTTGTACACTGATCAAACAATATGTACACGAATGGGATTTTCGTATATATATAATATACAATAAAAGCAAAAATGAACTGAAATTGGTTTCTTATAAGCGCAACATGAACTGCCGCTTCAATAGAAATGCACCAGGAAAAATGGGAATTTGGAATGTGATTTTTTGAGTTTTTTTGCGAAAATGATAAGTGACAATGAATTAGTAGATTCAGCGAAATTTTGTGACTTCACCAATTTCATAACTTTGTTGAAGATTACATTTCGTTAATTCTTATTATTTTTGTGAAAAATGCTAAAACCACATTCGAAACTTCCATTTTGATGATACGTTTCTATTGAGTCATCGGATTCATGTTGCGCTTCAGTTCAAACAATCCTATACTCCCATTTTTATTCTCAGCAACATAAATAGAATATTAACAGGTGGTATATAAAGTATGAGAGAGGTGTTTGCTTCTGTGGACAGTAAAATTGCGATTGAAGCGAGTAGAATATTATTCGTGAAACATAAATTTGAAACTCCAAAATGTTTCCTAGTTATGCCACGGTGCTTTGCTTACTGTCATAATTTGCTTTTTGAAGTCACACACGCGGTTGTTTTAATGAATGAAGTATAAATATTTTCAATTATTTCAAACTCAACCTAATAAATATAATTAAACGGAATTTGCATATTATGGACATTCGTTATTTTATCTGTTTGAATTTTTGCTGATGAATGTTTTACATGATTGGGGAACATCAGGACTTCCCCGCGCGCGTAGCGCGCGGAAACCCAGGCAGCTCTATATGCCATAGGCAGAGTGGTGGAAAAGGAATCGCGCGGCGCGTCATCAAAATGACCAAAAAGTGTACAAAATGTCAAAATCGTGTACGAATATCCAGATCCTCCCGTTGTGCACATTCCAATTGTATCACTTGATTTTATCTTCACAGTTCTTATTCGTGTATGTAAGTGGAGGACCATTCGGGAAGAGGAATGATGGTCACGCAAAGAATAAGGGTGGAGCGAAAGCAAAGAAAACTACAGCTCAAGCAGCGGATGAGGTAATTCGATGAAATAATATGCATGAAAAGAGCGTTGCATTGAAAATTTTCATTGTTTTCTCAAAAATTTCATCACATAAATCATATTTGTAATTTCGAAATTTTGTGGTTGAAAAACTTTGGAAATTTCGTGACTTTTACCGTAGTGTCACTCATATGACAATTACCACATACCAATACATTAGAACAACACTTAGTGTACCGATGCAACTAATGAACGAAGAAACAAACATAAAACATAACAAGAAAGCATGCCAACAGATTATCTGCATCTCATTCGAACACACAGATATACCGTGCAACTGCGCTGTGTATATTTGCAATGACGATGTTAGAATGAGTGAGATGCAGAATAGCACATAATGCGTCACTCGTCTGTCTTCGCTTGATATTTTTTTGTCTTGTTTTTTTCTTTAATTTGACTATTCGCATAACCATTGTAGTTTCATACATTCATTTACACAATTAAAACTGTGCTATTTGTATATGAATTACAAGCGAGTAGCCGCACAATCCTTACAGAGGCTATCAAATGTGGCACTGTATGCGTTTACATTTAATTTGTATGTGTTTGTGTGTCAAAACTGCCCAAATCGACAATACCAAAATATCCGATGTTCTTTTGTCACCCTTGAACTATATTCCGAATTGAATGTAATTTAGTGTTGTGTAATTTGCATACAAATAATGGAATGACTGTTTTGAATGACAATTGAATGAATGACACGGTATGAATGTGTGAGTGAATGTACCCTTCCGGCATTTTGGTCCACCATGACAGCATTTTGGTCGGTCATTTGAAATGAATGTATCTCATATTAAGCAAAACCACCGAAGCGAACACACAATTTTTTAATAAAGTCGAAATTGTTTCAGTAAAAATAAAAAGATCTAAACAATTATTAATTATACAAAATTAGCAAACTTGTCTTTAAACTCAATGAATGAGGCTCGTTTTTTTCGCTCATTGCCGTAGGAAATAGAGGAATGGTTTAGTGGTTGGTATGGAAGTACGCCAGATTTAAAAGCTGGTCCGTCTATCGTAAGTAATGTCGATAAACTTTGCAAATTCTTCATATTAACATACATTTTGTTGTCAATCAAATCCAATAGAGCGAATCTAAACTAAAGTCTGAGGTTGATGCTGCGACAGCCCAAAGAATCGCAGCAGCGGACAAGGTAATTCGATAAAGCAATATGAAAGTTTTTATGGAAATGTTCACTTTTTTTTGAAATTCCATCGTATAAATCAAAATTTCAATTTTGGTGGTTAAACCTCATCACCTTTCGAATCGAATTTCAAATTGAATGTAATTATTTTGAACGACATTAATTTGTTTCTGTTTTTTTTTTTTTATTGTTGCTTCAGGAAATAGATCACATGTTTAGTCTCTGGTCGAAAGGTTCCGGATCGAGCGCTGGAGGAAATAACAACATTCCATCTTTATCTCGCCAACAGGTATTTACGCATTATCATTAAAAAATATTGCATACATTCGGAAATAGTTTTAAATTTATTTAAACCGCTATATGTAAGGTCCGCAGACGTCCTTGTATTACAAGGACAATTCCCCTTTTTGAGAGCTTTCATCAGAGAATATCGAAATTTTCCAATATGCATATTGGACATGTCCTCGTTTTTATTTATTGAAAATATTCAAATAATTAAGCAACGCAAACAATCAGAGTGTTTCGAAAGGAAAATCTAAGCACCTTACCTATGGCAACTAATCTTGACTCCTTTGGAAGATTCAATGCTTTTAAACCTTTAATTGCCTTTAATCGATAAAAAGAACATTTTCAATCAAAAAAGTTTCTTGAAAAAAGTATTTTCTCCCAGACAGGTCTTGGCAAAGATGATGTGATATTCGAATTGTATACTTTGAAAAACAAAGACACACCGCAAATTCTGTCGATAGATAACATTACGTCGATCACCAAATCGAATTTCAATAAAAATGTGCCCACACGCTTCGTAATTCACGGATATCTCGAATATAATGGAAAATTGAAACGAATCATCAATGATGGTAAGTTTAAATCAATTTCAAACACAAGGCAAATACAATAGACGTCAACAGCGAGTACAACTACCATTTGGTTTGACGTTTTGCTATTAAGTTAGTTTAAGTAGCTCAAATGTAAGTTAAGTTAAAGTAAAGTACTGAGTTTCATGTCAAGTCCACTGTTAAGTCTAAGGTTTAGACTTAATAGTAGACTTGACATGAAGCTCAGTTCTTTTAATGATTTCTACAAAAATCAATAGATGGCGTTAGGGGTCTAGCATTTGCCTTGTGATTTCAAAATATTTTATTGCATTTATAAATGCCCTTTATAATTATTCCTGACATTTTCTTTCCGCAGCTTACCTATCGAAAGCTAAATTCGACGCAAACTTGATTGCCGTAAACTGGGAAAAATTTTCACAAACATTTAATTACATTGCAGCTCGTAGCAAAGTAAACTCGATTGGTATCCATGTTGCAGCTATGATTGATTACATGGTGAAAAATCATCTCGCTTCCATCAATGACATAAGTTTAATAGGATTCTCATTGGGTGCTCATATTGCGGGAATTGGTAAAGTGTTTGCACTGCTTTCGCTTAATATATTTTACTTCGCCACTCCGACGATTTAATACGTCAAAAAACAAATTCCATATTTTAATATGCTACACACACCATTTTGACCGTCAGAACACTTTCTGTCTTCTTATTACAATAAATGCCCAAGCTACTACAAATGACAAACCCAGATGCTTGGGAGAGCATAAAATTGGTTATGTTCATTCCCAGAACAAACTTTTTTCTTCTGGAAAACTCTATCGCATACGCCGTTTTTGACTAAATGTTTTTTTGACTCCCCTTTGAAGAACAATATGATTAAAATTTATCGAAAATTTATGCCAAAAACTGATTTCTATTCTTAGCTGGAAAGAATGTAAAATCTGGAAAATTGCCAAAAATTATTGGTTTGGATCCAGCCGCTCCACTGTTCTCTTTGGATAAACCTACTGAACGTTTGAATCGTGGGGATGCAAAGTGAGAAACTCATTTATAAATTACAATCCATAAAAATTACATTGAGACCAAGAATCACATATATTTCTTTCTTAAGATTAGATTTGTTGAAGTCATTCACACCAACGGCGCATTCTTAGGAATAGAAAATCCAATCGGAACGGTTGACTTCTATCCAAATACTGGTTTGAAACAACCCGGCTGCTCGAATGATCTACTTGGCAGATGCTCACACTGGCGTGCAGTTGAATATTTCGTTGAAAGTATTTACTCGCCTATTCAATTCTACGCATATCCATGCTCCTCATTCGATGATATGAAAAAAAGGAATTGCAAAGGCCATGGATTGAAAATGGGTGGAAAGCCGGGCAATAAGAATGCGTTAGTTAAAGATTTTTCTTTCATTCCTTGTTTCTGAATAAAATGGATTTTGCATTTTTTCTTCTTTTTTTTTGCACATAGTGAGGCCAGCATTTATTACTTGACTACGAATTCCGAATCGATTTTTGCCCGCGGTGAATCAAACCAACACTCATTCACAGGAATACACGGTTAAAAGTCGTCTTGACAAAAAATTCGTTTGTAATCGAAAGTTTAAATAAATAAAATGTTTTACCATGTAAAACGAACTTTTCCGCACATTTTCGGTAGAATGTAAAATATAGATCACTTGGATGTAATGTTGCAATTGTTCTTATTTTAAAGTATGTTTGGATTTTTATGGAGATCGATATGACTTTGAATTTTTTTTTCAATCATATGGTTGTATGTTTCATTGAATTTGGGATATTTGCGAAAGTCAGTCGTGTTTGTTAAAATGGGCGATTATTTGAAATATTTGAACGAGGATGTTGATTGGGAGCCTGCAATGGTTGATGGTGAAATTGAAGCCACTGAATACTATTTTCATTTGCTCCGTCGTGGTATTAAAATTCGTGGCGGTGTATTCGTGAGTAAAATCTGGAGTGCAAATGGTCACCATGATGGACGGATATAGTGTCCATGTCCACGCCCATTTTAAAACCTTTCATATGACACCCATGTCAACTATTCATATAAAAAAAATGCTGTTAAGTGGTGTTAACATAACCGTGATGGACCGGGATGGTGTTCATGTTTATCTCCATTCAAAGACCTTTAATATGATACCCATATTGACTATACTATGTAAAAATGGTATGAAGTCCATCGTGGTCGACCATCGTGTTATAACACCATTTAACATCACTTACCATGGGAAAACCGTGTAAAAACAGTAAAAAAAAATAATAGAATTTTTTTTTTTCGATCGAAAAATCCGAGGAGGGACCCTTGGGTGAAATTCCATGATATACCAAAAGTACCAGATAGACTGGTCCGATTCGGTCCAACTTCTGATACATTCAAGATATTTATATAAGACACCACGTTGCAAAATTTAAACAAAATTGCTCAAGAGATTCGAAAGTTATCGTGTTTACAAGGAATTTTCGTGCGTTTTTCGAAACAGTAAAAAGGACATCAAAATCGTCCATCGTGGTGAGAACACCATTTAACACGGTTAACCATATAAAAAACAGCCAGCAATAGCCAGAAAATGCATTTTGAAGTGAAAAAAGTAATTAAAAACAGACCATCATGGTCGGCCATCGTGGTAAAACATCGTTTAACACGGTTTACCACGAAAAAATCGCGAAGAAGACTGAGAAATAACCAAAAAATGCATTTTGTGGGGAAAAAAGAAATTTTTTCTCGAAAAAATCCAAGGGGGGATGAAAATCTATGATGTAGCAAAAGTACCAGATGGACTGGCCCAATTTGATCCAACTTCTGATACATCCAAGATATTAACGTAAGCTACCTCCTGGCCAAATTTAAGCAAAATCGCTCTACTATTTTGTAAGTTATCGTGTTTACAACGAAAATTTAAAATTTTCACGACGATCGCTATACACTTCACACTTCGTGTGCGGAAAAGTAAAAATGTCGATGTGCTGTTATATATTCAACAAAATAACTTGTTGGAAACTTTGGCCCAAGATTACGTTCTTCACTTCACTGTTTAAAATTTACGCCTAAATATAGATGGAATTCCAGCTAGTATACGCTCCAAAGGTCCTGCATCTAAGCGTCTGACAGCTCACTCCTAGCGCTACGAGATAAGTGTCAAAAGTTTTGACTCAGATCGTTCAATGTTTACCGCAAACTATTGAATCTTTTTTATATTTGTTAATAAAGTAGACAAAAAAAATAAAAATGTCGCGTTCATGAGTGCGTCTAACAACGTAAATGAATTGAAACAATCTTCACTGAATGCGCTCATCGCAAATTCGTGTTTTACTTTGTTTTGTTAGTGTTATGCAGAGCCTGTGATACGCTCTCAGTCGATATTCGCCCAAGTAAGTTGTATGCCAGCCGTTTTTTCGCCTAGATTTCATACGAATATACGACGGAAAGTAGATTTTCAGTTGAAGTTTTAGGTCAAATATAGACTGAAAGCGTATACCAGCCGAAATTCCGTCTATAGTCGGGCGTAAATTTTAAACTGTGTTCTATCAATGTATTGTTTATGGTTTTTTGGGGTGCTTTCATGTCTCAATTGTACTGATTTGACATTTAGAGCAAAAATTTATTCCGGGCGTCCAACAAGTTTTTTGCAACAAAACTCCTGAAACGGACTGACAGCTAAGTTTGGATAGATGCCAACGATCTGTGCATAATACTTTATGACACATTTTAAACCAAATTTATTGTACTCTGTTATTGTAATAATTTCAAGATGAGTAAACTTTACATCATGAAGGCGGATTTAAAGAGATCACAATTCTGCTTTTGTTATTTTATTTACTTGATTTTCAAATTCATGTTTTTACAATAAGTTGTAACGTATAATGAGCAATCTATTTCCAAAATCAGCCATCAAACACGTGCTCGAACACGTCTCCCCTCATGTACTTTTCGTTTCGTTTTTTCGTTTGCTTCATTATTTATTCATATTCTAACCGACTATTTACCTGTGGTTTAACTTTGAAACGGAGCGTTTTTATTTATTTATTTATTACGTGTATGTATTATTTTTCGTGAATACTGCGAAGATGTGAACATTTTCATATTCAAATGACCACGTCCCATAGTAACATCATTCAACACTTTAAGGGAGAAATTTTATTTCTTGACTTTGAAATTCAACGTGATCGAATTGCGTTGTTTTTCAAACCATACTGAAGGTGATGAAGGAATTAACATGAACATCTGGTATTTTCGATGCGATTTATTCGATGTGGAACGCCAAATTTTATGTGCACAGGTGGAATTGCAATTCCACCACTTGACGTCAAATCTGTATATCTTTTCTTTTGCGCAAACACAGTTCGGATCACATATGTAATTCGTTTTATAATTGGAATTGTCATTCCATGCTGATGTGATCATACTTGAAAAGTATATAATAAGATGCGTTCGATTCGCATGTCCATCAAACAGTTCGTCAATTCTCTTCAATTGATACGTTTACAGTAAACTTTTATTAGTTCGAAGCTGGCAAAATGCTGAGTCGAAGATCTATCACACTGCTGCTCATTGGCTTGGTGGTATCCCAGGTGAGTCTACAATTTCAGTAGTATAATTTTTTTTTTAGTCATTAACTAATTCCATTGATGAAAATTTTTCATTGCTTTCCAATTAAATAAAATCTCTATCAAAAACTTTAATTCGAATGAAAAACAGTTGAAAATCATTCCAATCTCATCCATTGTTCGTATTCCAATTTAATCACTTTGATTTATTTCCACAGTTCTTAGTGGTGAATGTGAGTGGGGAACCATTCGAGAGCCAGAATGATGATCACTATGATTCAAGCCCAAATTTTGTTCCAGTAAAAGACCGAATCAAAGGAATTAACAGTCGCACAAAAAATAACGATTTTGTGCCGCCCAGCAATTGGCCTTACGTGAAAGAAATAGTTGAAGCTCTTGAGCCTATATCTCAACCGGACCGCAATGATTTGATCCCAACGCCTGTTTCAGTAAAAGACAGAGCTAAAAAAATTGCCAGTCATACAAAGGACTCCGACTGGGTACCTCCAAGCAATTCACCTTCCTTGGCAGAAAGAGTAAGTAATGTCGGTAAATTGTGGACATTCCTTTTATTTAGATTGATTTTGTATCAAATTAAATAGACCGAACTCAGATTAACCTTCGAAGGAAGTTGTAGAAAAAATATTCACTTTTTTTCAAATTCCATCGCATAAATCAATGATTCAAATTTCGAATTGAATGTAAATACTTCTATCAAACTTTTCATTAATCTTAATTAAACTTTATTTCTCTCATTGCAGGCGAAAAATTCCGGATGGGTTGATTGTTTTCCTGGTGGACGTTGTACTTAATAAAAAAAAGACAAATTCTGATGTAATTGATACTTCCATGCTGCTAAACTACCTCAATGAAAACAGAAAAATGTGTAGTCGTTGAGTGCATCTCAATTGAAATTCATCAATTCGAAGGCAAAATATAAATACAAAATATTGATTTATCAGCGCACCCTTGTTGTTTTGTTTATATTGTTATATCATGTGTTGTTGATAATAAAAATGGGCATACAGAAGGGTTTGAACTGAAGCGCAACATGAAATTTGTTTCTTAAAAACGCATTATGAATCGTGGCTTCAAACGTAACATGAAAAATGTAAATTATGGTGTTTTGTGTTTTTCGAAAATGATAATAAGAGATGTACAGATACTTTAAAATAGGACTTATATGGCCTATATGAATGGGTAATTGATTTTCGGCCATGTATACGCTTATATGACTGAAATTTTCGACTACCACCATAAGTGTAGTGTCAGTAGAGCTGGTCTTATGAAAATACTGATTGTTGTCGTTTCATACTCGTGGTATTCACCTTATTGAGTGATGTAAAGTGAAAATGATTCCGTATATCCTTGCATTAACTAACACTGTAGCTACAGACTATTGAACAAACGGTACGTAAGCTTGAATATATTATCATTATTTTTAGCTCATTGGATTTGTTTTTTGTAAATTTAGAAGGTGATTGTGGAAGTTGATTGTTGGAATTGAAGAGTTTATTTATTCAAAACATGTTTTTTTGTTTACGTAAAAGTTACCAGAATTGAGGCGGAGCGTGTTCTGTGCATACCGCGAATATGCTACGCACATAGTAACACCACTCAACACTTCGGAAGTAAAAAAAAAATATTTGCTTGACTTTGAAATTCAATGTGATACAATTGCGTTATTTTTCAAACCATCACTATATCTAGCATTTCCGATACGATCCATTTGATGTGAATTGCAAAATTATACACATGTGCACAGGTGGTATTGTAATTTTTTGTAATAATATTTCGTACATTTTAATTAAAATTGTTATTGCACGTTAAATTATACCGTTGATGTGTTGCTTCCTGGTGTGATCACACTTGAAAAGTATATAAAACATGGGTTCGATTCATCTGTCCATTGAACAGTTCGTCAATTCCCTTCAATTGATACGTTTACAGTGAAACTTTGGGTAGTTCAAAGCTAGGCAAATGCTGAGTCGAAGATCTTTCACACTTCTGCTCTTTGGCTTAGTGGTATCCCAGGTGAGTGGACAATTTTTTGTAGTTTCTTTCACGAACAAATTTTGGAACAATTTTTTTTTCTATTTGGTTCGTTTAAGGTTATTTCAATGAACTAATTTTATTTTAAAAAATATCTCCATTTTGAAGTTTTTCGTTTGAAAAATGGAAAAAACATCTTTCATTTAAAAAAAAATTGTCAAAAATATCCGCTTCTTCATAGTGAAAAGTCATATCTTGTGAATCACCTTAATAGAAAATAGAAAGTTTAGAAATGAAAATGAGAAAGCAGTTGAATACAATTCCAATCTCATTCGGTCTTCTCATTCCAATCTAATCACTTTGTTTTATTTCCACAGTTCCTGTTTGGGAATGTGAGTGGAGCACCATTCGCGAACCAGCATGATGATCATTATGATTCAAGTCCAACTTTTGTTCCAGTAAAAGACCGAGTGAAAGCAATTGACGATCATGCAAAGAAGAATGGCTGGGTACCTCTGACCAAATCCCCTTCTTTCAAAGCAAAAGCAAAACATCACGAGCCGGTAAAAGCTACGGAGCCTGTATCTGAGCCAGATCACAACAACTCACCGCCTGTTTCAATAAAAGAACGAGCCAAAGCAATTGACGGTCTTGCAAACAAGAACGGTGGGGAGCATCTAAGCAATTCCCCTTCCTTGAAAGCAAAAGTAAGTAGTGTCGATAAACTGTGGACTCGATGGACATTCATTTTGTTGACATATATTTTGTATCGAATTAAATAGAAATAACTCAAACCAAATTGACGTAAATTTTTTTTGAAATTCCATTGCATAAAAGATCCGCTGAGAATATATCGATCGCCAAACAAAACGAAACACAGCGCTTTTCTACATACCGTTTTTGTTGTATTACAATAATTTTTTTACGTTTACCGTAGCATTTACATAAAATAGTAAGTGTTTGTGTGACAAAACTGTGAACATCATCGAGACCAAAATTTCCAATGTTATTTGATCGTTGAATCTCGTCATATTTAAATTAAAGTACGATAAAGATTTTGGCGGTGACTGGTGATATATAACGTATTCGCTGGCTCTACACAGTACCTACGTGAACTAGGCATGGCATCAGTTAGTAGACTCCTCCTTAGCAAGGGGAGCAAAATTTTCACTGCCAATATTTTGCAAAAATTTCAGCCATACTTTCAAATTGAATATAATAATTATTGGAAAATCTCCACTTTCCATTAACCCAATCTAAGCGATGGTTCCATATGGAACCGTTTTTAAATATGTTCTGCAAGAACACGTAAATTGGTCAATTTTTGTTTCGTTCCTCGTCTAATGACGTTTTTATGACAGAGAAAAGTTTAATCTATCATAAAATATATAATTTATACCATTTGGTTCGGCACAATATGAAATAGGGCATTTTGCATTTCGGCAAAGAAAATTTAGGGGGTCAACACATGGGAATGAATCGGAAAATTTTCAAACAACTCGATTATTATTTTATTTCGGAATGAAGTTTTAAAGCCAAGCATGTACAGATACATATTTTTTGATCTCAAAATTAAAATTGACAACAAAAAACATGAAAAAAAAAACAATCTTTCCATGGTTTTTCTTGTGTTTGTATTGAAAAAATACGTCGTGACGAAATCAAGGTTTTCCACGGAAAATCTTATGAATTTTCAATCGGTCGCACTATAATCCAAAAGTATGCATGCTCACCTTTATCAAAGACTTAAAATTGAATCGATTTTTTTATATTTTGTTTGCATTTAAGCCAAATTTTTAGAACTTCGCAGGAAAAAATTGAAAAAAGAGATCACGGCTTTGAATGGGTTAAATCAGTCGACAGTAAATGCTGGTCAAAAATGACCCAATATTTTTAGCGAACTTTTCGTTAAGCTCAATTAATTTTTTATGTGTTTCGTCTCTCCTTGCAGGCAAAAAAACAAGGATGGGTTGATTTGTGGAATCCAGAAAGTGGACCAAAAAAGATTAACCGAAACTAACCAAAACAGAAAAATTTTGATGCAGTTCGAAACTAACTTGATGAAAATAAAAAAAAAAAGTGTTTTTCTAGGATGAATTTCAATGGAAATCAATCAATTTGAAGATAAAAAATAAATATGAAATATTTCCTTATTAGCACAACGTTATTGTTTTGTTTATATTGTCACATCTTTGCTCAATTGATCGAATTTGATGTTGGGGTTAAACATTAATTTCAATTATACAAAGGAATTTGACGGTCGACATTTGCATTGTTTTTCATTTTTCATATCATTTTTGAATTCTATTAATTTCATTTAAATTATTTTGTGTGGTGTCAATCAATGGTTTCAATATGTTTGGCATTTTGGAAAACAGTTCACTCGGAAGATCACTCAGTTTGTTATACGAAACATTGAACTTGAACAGTCAAAAATGTTGATATTATTGTTCATTTTGTTCCATTCAAAGGAATGAATACATTTTTTCTTTGTTTGACCAATTATATTTTAGTGTTTAAAGTTTTCTTAGAATAAAATTTTAGTAATTTACTAAAGCGAATATTCTATTTGTATGTTGTGCAATTATAACATTCATTTGGGCACTTAATAAAGAGTAAGTCTAGCTCATAGTGGCCCAGATCGGTATTATGCAGCTTTATTTTCTGCATCAAGTTCGATGTCCGGTTCATTTTGTATGTACTTAGATATAATGTTTGTCTATAAAGAGATACCTAATCCGATTTGATAAATCCCTTGCATAAACTAGCACTGTAGCCATTGAACAAAGCAACACAGCTATGGTATGTGAGCCTGACTATAACGCAAAGGTATTCGTTATGTCGTTTAATCATTCATATTTATCGTATGTTAACAAAGATCCATCTGTGGTTATCTTTTAACCTTAAAATAACAAAATATTCTCGTGCTACGCTATGAAAAAAAAATTGCAAAATATACACAGCTATCGCCTAAAAATGGAAGCGTATACAAAATGAGATCTCTGGTTTGAATTTAAGAATTTAGTTATTCAAACAATGTTTTTGTTCTCGCAAAAGTTTCCTTCTTTAGAATTTAAAACTGGGGCGGAATGTGTTTTGTGCATACCGTGAAGGTGTAGAAACTTTCCATGTACAGTGTACAGCCACGTCCCATAGTAACACCACTCAACAGTTCAATAGTGAATTTTTTTTTTGCTTGAATTTACAATTCAATGCGATTCAATTCGTTATTTTCCAATCCATAGTGAAAGTAATGAAGGAATAAAGGGAAACATCTGGTAATTCCTATGCGATCTATATGGATCCATGTATCAAATATTTGGTACACACGTGTACAGGTGGAATTGTAATTCCATCAATTGTTTTGACATTGTTTGTTGAAAAAAATGCATGCGATAACACTTGGTGAATTTTATTCAGAATCGTCATTGCACGTGGATTAAATTATAGCGTTAATGTGTTGCTTGCTGAGTGCTGACGTGACCACACTCGAAAAGTATATAAGAAGATGCGTTCGATTCGTATGTCCATCAAACAGTTCGTCAATTCTTATCAGTTGATACGTTTATAGTAAACTTTTGATAGTTCAAAGCTGGAAAAATGCTGAGTCGAAGATCTTTCACACTGCTGCTCATCGGCTTGGGAGTATCCATGGTGAGTCGACAATTTTAGTCAATTTTTTTTTTGTAAATTTAATGTTGCTTGGAATTTTTTTAACTTGCAAATTTTGGATTGCATTTTTTACATTTGATTCTTTTCAACTTAGAATACATTTTCTGCACTAATTTCATTGATGAAAAATGCTCATTTTTGAGCTTTTCAATAAGAAAAAAATCTATATCTAGTTTTCACATTCGAATAAAAAACAGTTGAAAATAATTCCGACTTCATCCACTGTTCCCATTCCAATTGAATCACTTTGTTTTATTTCTGCAGTTCTCAGTCGTGGATGTGAGTGGAGCACCATCCGGGAAGAATGATAATGGTCGCAAAAACGGTTATGTGCCTCCAAGCAAGCCAAATCCACCAAAAAAATATGCCAAACCTGTTATGATGGATCCGGCTTATCAAACCATGGAAGCAAAAACAAAAGTTCCGGAGCCTGTATCTGACCTGGATCAAAATGATTCAACGCTTATTTCAGTAAAAGATCAAATCGGAAAAATTGACGATCATGCAAAGAAGAACGGCTGGGTGTCTCCGAACAAATCTGCTTCAACAGAATCAACAAAAGTTCTTAAGCCTGTATCTGAATCGAATGTTTCAGAGCCGGAAACAGTTCTAGAGCATTTATCTGAACCGGATCACAATGATTCAATCCCAATGCCTATTTCAATAAAAGACCAAGACGGAAGAATTGATTACTCTGCCTTGGAAGCAAAAGTAAGTAATCTCAGTCATTCTCACGAATTGAATGTAATTATTTTTACTGAACTTTTCCTTAGGATCAATTATTTTTTCCGTTTCTTCTCTCATTGTAGGCGAAAAGACAAGGATGGGTTAATTTGTGGAATCCACAAGGTGGACTTTAAACTTAACCGAAACAGACAAATTCTGTTGCAATTTATCCTTATTCATACTACTTGTACTACACGGAGTATTTCAACATAAAATGATTTCAAGATCGAAACTAACTCAAAGAAGAAAAAAATTGTTTTTCTTGAATATATCTCAATTGAAATCAATCAATTTGAAGATGAAAAATAAATACAAAATACTGACTCATTAGCATAACGTTGTTGTTTTGTTTATATTGTCACATCATTACCCAATTTATAAAAGTGGTTCAATCAATAATCGACTATATTGGAGCCATTTTTGTGGCGTCTCCACTCGCATTTAACGTCCATTGTAGAAGCTCACTTGTCAAAGTTCAAACATCAATGCAAACATATGGAAGTGGAGGAAATGACACCAAGCTGCACGAGGCTATTTGACGTTGGAGTTGAACATCAATTTCAGTTGTACATTGGTTCATATTTGCATTGATTTCCATTTTTCCTATCGTTTTTGAATTCTATCAACTACTTTCAAATTAATGTGCGTGATGTCGATCACGGTAGTAATTCACTCGAGGTATCGCTCAGTTCGTTATACGAAGAATTCAAAACGTAATGCAAATTTCTACTTTCTGTCATGCATTTTCCCATTTCTATCACGTGTTTTACCATCACCCTTTTAGTATAGACATAGGCGAATATTCTAGTTGCATTTTGTGCAATAACAATAACATTCATTTGGGCACTTATTTTCTGCATTTAGTTCGATGGCCGGTTCATTTTGCACTTTTGTACATAGTATGTTTGAATATTTAAACGTTTATCAAGTTGATATATCAACTAACTTAATGTATACATTCATTGGAATTTAAAAATAGTTAAAAAGTTACCTCTATCTCTATGGAAAGTGTTATTAGGTACGGCTATGGTTTCATATGAGATTCGTTCATGATTTTTAAGAGAATGCGTAAATTCGCATTAAGGTCAGTGTATTCACCTTATTGAGTGATATAAAGTAAATATGATTCCATATCCCTACACTAACACAGCAGCTATTGAACAAAGCAACACAACCACGGTACGTAAGCCTGAATGTAACGCAAAGGTATTCAAGCGAGGTCATGTCGTTTGATCATTCTGAAATTCTTATGTAAGCGAAGATCTATATGTGGTTATTTTTTAACTTTAAAACGACTTTGAAACGGAGTATGTTTTGCTCATACCACGAAGATGTGAAATTTTCAAATTCAAATAGTCACGTCCCCTAGTAACACCACTAAGCAGTACAAGAGTAAAAAAAATATTTGCTTGAATTTGCAATTCAATACGATCCGCTTGCGTTATTCTCCAAAACATAATGAAGGTGATGAGAGATTCAACGTGAATATCTGGTACTTTCGATGCGATCCATTTGATGCGAAACGTATTATTATGCATACATGCACAGGTGGAATTGCAATTCCACCAATTGACGTCAAATGTTAGATATTTCTTTCTTGAAAAATGTGTGCGTTTATATTTTGTGCATTTTAAGAATTGTCATTGAACGTGGATTAAATTATACCGTTAATGTGTTGCTTACACCTCAGTAATATAGTCATGTCAGACCATACTTGAAAAGTATATAAGAAGATGCGCTCGGCTTTTAGGTCCATCAAACAGTTCTTATCAATTGATACGTTTACTGTAAACTGTTGATAGTTCGAAGCTGAAAAAATGCTGAGTCGAAGACCTTTCACACTGCTGCTCATTGGCTTGGTGGTATCCCAGGTGAGTTGACAATTTCAGTCGAAAATTTAAAGATGATTTTTCTAAACAATTTCAACAATAAATAATTGTCCAAGGCTTCAAGCCTTTCAATTACAAATAAAAAGAATTACATTCGTAATCCCGAACTTTTCCGTACCGTTGTCCGCACTTTTGGTTATTTTTTGTGAATTTTCTTGAATAAAGGCAGTTTTCGAGTGAAAAATCGGTCACTTCAGTTAAAACTTCGACAATTTTGTATGGAAGGTACCCGTAAATCGACTCCGATTAGCTCAAAAATTTGGTTTTTGACCCTCAATTTTTTCCAAGAAAATTTCGACAAAAATTGAAGGTCAAAAACTAAACTTCTGCAAATGCGATCAACATGAAACTTTCAGAATCTTTTTTTTCTCCGAAAAATGAAACCTCTGAAGTTTGAAGCTCTTCGGAGTCGATTGACGGGTACCTCCCGTACAAAAGTGTCAATTTTTTTAGGTTTTTCTCAGGGCAAGTACCCCAGAATCAAATTGAAAATGGCTCATCTTCAAACTTGAACTAAGTTTTTCGGATACACAACTTTTGGCATTTCCAGATTTTGATTATCTCAATTATTTTTTGAGTTATCGTTTTAACAAACACCATCGACGACGACGACGACGGCACACGAACGGAAAAGTGTCTCAAAAAGTGGTTTTCTACGCGTTTCATGAGTTTTTATGATGATCTAAGCTAATTTTATGAAAAAAGTTTTCGGGACCAATTCCTATACTTTCCCTTGACACTGTGTGTACGGAAAAGTAGAATCTTCTATTCCAAAAACAATGTCCGTCGGAAAATCTCATCCGTTGTTCTCATTTCAATTGCATCACAATTTTTCCGCAGTTCATAATCGAATTTTTTTATTTCCACAGTTCTTAATCGGGGATGTGAGCGGAGAACTATCCGGGGAATCATCTGGTAAGAAGAAGAATGAGCCGGTGAAGGAAGTGGAGATGGTAGAATTTTCTAGTCCTGGTACCTCTAATATCGGTTGGACGCCTTCAAAGAATCCATCTGAAATGCGAAAATCTGTTAAATCTGTTAAATCTGTGAAGCCGGTTGCAGTAGACTCAGAACCGGAGCCCATGTCTTTTGTAAAAAGCCAAGTCAAAGAAATTAATGAACGCACAAAGAAAGGAAGTGGGGCGCCCCCAAACAAGTCAAATTCAGCAAAAAAACACATGGCAAACCATAACATGGTTAACATTCTTAAACAACAAATATCTTCGAAGAAGAAGCTACAGGGCTAGCTTTCAAATTTGAGATTGTTTTGTTCTCAAAAGTACTTTTGTAAAACATTGTGAATTAATTCGAATTTTCTAAACATTCTTGCAAAAACATAGGATTTTAAGTTTATTTTGTTCAACTGAAAAAAATGAATAAACGGTTTTCTCTGTGAAAAATATACAATTTATTGCCTCTCAGAATCTACTTTAGTTTAGATAAAATTGAGTATTTATTTAGAGTTGTGTAATAATGGAACAAATTTTATGCACACGTAAACGAAGATCCATTATTCACGTTTCAGAACCTTAGATCATCATAAGGATTCAGGTTATGTTGTGATCAGTTGTGATAATGGAATTGGATCGGTATCGTATCTGATTCGATCAATGTAAAGCTTGTCTCAGAGACAATGTCTCTGCAAAAATTTCTAATATCTTGCCTGTCGTTGTTTGGTCGACCTCATTGGGAGCATCAACCAATTGTATTTTCCAAAGTAATAACATTTATTTCCGTTTTCGGGAGAGATTCCCTCGCAAATTCAATCGTTTGTACTGTCGCCATCATCATCGGTGATGCAGATCCATTAGAACTTTCATCATCGTAAAAGGGTGGAAATGTGCCCACTGTCCACTTCAGTCAAATCATTCACATTCAAGATTTTATGCATTTGAATTTCAATTGCTGCTCATACAAGTTCATCTTAGCATTCCTTGATACCAGTGTAAAATTCACTCTCTTCAAACTATTGCCGGCAATATAAAGCCGTTTCAGCCCAATGAGATGTTTAACTGCACTTAAGTTAAAGCTGAACAGATTTGTATGGATATCTTCAGGGAAAGTGTTACTGAGTACGGCTGTGGTTTTGTATGAGATTCGTTTATTATCTTTCTTTTAGATTATGCGTAAATTTATATAACGCATTCGCTCCATTGAAAGATGTAAAGTAAATATGATGCCATATATCCCTATACTAACAGAGCAGTTATTGAGCAAAGCAACACAACCACGGTACGTAAGCTTGAATGTAACGCAAAGGTATTCAAGCGAGGTCATGTCGTTTGATCATTCATATTCATATTCATATTCATATTTACCGTATGTAAGCGACGATCCATCTGTGGTTGTTTTTTTAACTTTGAAACAACTTTGAAACGGAATGTGTCTTGTGTATGCTGCGAAGATGTGAACATTTCCATATTCAAACGGTCCCATAGTAACACCACTCAACACTTCAAAAGTCAAGAATATTTTCTAGAATTTGCAATTCAATGCGATCCAATTGCGTTATTTTCCAAACCATAGTGAATGTGATGGAGGAATAAACGTGAACAGCTGGTATTTTCGATGTAATCCATTGATGTGAGACGTAAAATTATGCACAATTCCACCAATTGATGTCAATTATTCTAATTTTTTTTTAACAAAATGTGTGCGATAATATTTTGTGCATTTTAATTAGAATTGTCATTACACGTGGATTACATTATCCCGTAATGCGTTGCTTACTGATGCGACCATGCTTGAAAACTATATAAAAAGTTTATTCGATTTGTTTGTCCATCAAACAGTTCATCAATTCTTATCAATTGATACGTTTACAGTAAACTTTTGATAGTTTGAAGCTGAAAAAATGCTGAGTCGAAGATCTTTCATACTGCTGCTCATTGGTTTGGTGGTATCTGAAGTGAGTCGACAATTTTAAACAGAATTTTAGTTGATTTTCTATAATTTCAATGTTGCTTGGAATTCTTTCACTTGCAAATTTTGGATCAAGTTTCTTAAATTTGATTCCAAATGTATCACTTTACTTTATTTCCTCAGCTCTTAATCGTGGATGTAAGTGGAGTTAACGTGCAAGCCATAGCAAAAAATCTGGATGCTTTTTATGGATCGAAAGGTATTAATTCAGCGCCAATTAGAGTGATAGGCCCAGTCGGAAAAGCAAGTGGTCACGCAAAGAATATCAGTGAGGTGCCAACGCCTCCAATAATACCA